ACTCACAGTGGAATGTTGTAGGAAACTCTCTGGGCTTTTATGAAGTCTTTGGGCTGATGCTGGGCAATAACATGCCAGCTGACTCCATTGTTGACACTGTACTGCAGCAGCACGGCCCGGTCCATTGTGTCGGCCTGATCCAGCGCTACGTTGCAGCTGTCTGTTTGTGCCACGCTGCCGATTTGCAGCACAAACATGATCTTACTGGAGACAAAAAAAGAGAATGGCTTACAGAAAAGAAATGTTGGCGTGGAGATACCTGATCTGTTTGAAGGATAACATATAAAATAATCTAGAAAACATTTAGTTTTTTCTAATGATTTGCTTATTAATGTTTGGTAGTACCTGTACCTGGCTCTAGTGAGGTCCAGCGGTTTGGTAACTGCCTGCCTCAGCTTACAGCCACTAAAGTAGAGCGAGTCTCCGTGAGCATGAGGGGACAGCTGCCCACAGCCGCTGCCCACTCCACCGCCGTCGATAAGCTGCCAACTCTCTGGAGACACCGCACCAGATTCAAAGTTATCTTTGATGGAGCTTGGCAGCTCTGTGCTTGAGAGGGAGCAGTCATCACCTGTTGATTAAACAGATGAAAGCGGATGTATAAGAAATGTTTGAGAATAAGATTTCTACAAACTAAACAGGGATCCTTACGGTAAAAGAAATTTTTTTTCCAGTATACCGTTTTTTTTTTTACTCACCGTGGTATCCCTCATCACAGATGCAGACCAATCCACTTGTGCAGTATCCATGGCCACTACAGAGCCCTGGGCATGCCTCTCCGATGTAAACATTATCCACTCCCCAGCTATGCCTCTCTCCCGTTCCTTCCTTCTGAATCCAGCGGAACTGGGTAGCTCTGCAACATGAAACAACTTTCAAATCCTTTACGCTGATGCAATGTATATCAAACGGCCAACCTGTGAAATAGTTGTTCTCGTCTCTTTACCCTGAGGAGACGTGGTCTGGCAGCTGGACCGTGACCCGTGTCCATGTTGAGCTGTTCACTGGACTGTAGATTGTGGATTCATGAAACTGGAAGGGGGAGCAGCCTGCATTGTTTATGGAGGACGGGAGACACTCGGACTGGACCAGCTGCCATGAATCAGACCTGGAGGGAAGCAATCATGAGCTTGGGAATCTTAGAGAAAGGGCTTCTGTACATGTAAAGTTACTCTATCATATAGAAACGAGGTTTAAAAAGAGCAACTATTCAAAACTAGGTTGAACATATTGATTTTAAACACATTTAAAAACTTTTTCCACAGACTAACTAAAGGTATACTGGAAAGGAAAAGCCATGCATGTGGCATTCTTTCTATTTCCAGAGTAAATGAGCTTCAGTCTCCAAAAGTATTGAGATATTGGCTTTATTTTAACCTCGGTTCTGGACCCAGCTAAGGGCCGGACATGGACTGCACACAGCATGCCAGATGTAAAGTAAGTAATGGCAGGTTTAATTTGTGTCAAATCTAACCGGTGTCTTACTAAATAACCTATAAGCCCTTAAAGCAGCAGCCATTCAAAATGGCCCTCCCCTGTCAAAAGCCAGCTGAATGGCATCAAACTCTCCTCCAACTTCCAGCCACTGGCCTTCTCCTGGGTGTGCATATTTTTTTACTCTGACTCCATCCTTTCACTGAATTACAGGGTCTGACCAGGAGATAACATTTCTCTTTAGATCTTAATGTCCACAAATCATGACAGAAAGAATATTTTAGGTAATCAAAAATGAACAGTAGGGGACCAGTGATGGGATTAACGGTGTTACTAACGCCGTTACCTTTTTTTAGTAACGAGTAATCCAAATTATTACTCTTACTGTAACTATAACGCAGTTACCATTGCCGACACCCCGTTACTGCGCGTTACTCAGGTCGCACAATGAACCTTTTTTTATGATAGGACTCGTGCGCGCCTTGTCATGAGAGAGGGGAGGATGAGAATGGCTGTTACGGGTGTTAA